TCTGTCAGTATGCCAGCAACATTTGAATCTCTTGACCAATTTGAAAAATCCCTGACAAAAAAAGGAGAAGTTTAAAAACTGAGCTCCTGTAGGTTTTACAATAATCAGCAGCCAGACAGAGACTCAGATTTGTGTGCCCAGTAAAGAACAGGTGGAAGGGTGAACTCAGCTGCCTTATTTGATACAAGAGAATCCAAAGCTGTCATCGAAGAGCAGGCTCCATAAGGTTTGCTGTCAATGGAACTGCTTGTTTGTCATTTAGGTAGGGAAATTTTTTGCTTGTTTGTTTGTTGGGTTTTTCTGTTTGTTTTTGTTGTTGTTGTTTGTTTTTTAAATAAAATATATTTAAAAGAAACTAAAGATTTCTACCTGAGATGATTTTTAAAATGTTCATTGCTGCAGAATATTGGCACTCATTGTAAAATTATCTATAATACCAGATCTTGTCCAGAACAGGCCCTGAAATTACTACATGAAATGAAATCCATTTGGGCCAGCCAGTGTTTTCTCTCTGCTGTGGATAGGACTGTTTCTTCCCATGCTAGAACTAGCTCTGACCCTTTTCTCTTTCTTAAAATACTGTGGTGCACCAAACTTAAAGAAATGAAAAGTCATGAGTCAGATGCCAAAAAAACCTGCTCTCGAAAATTATGATATGTTGATAAAATATATTTTACTTTGGATTTGGTCAGTCTTTGAAATTTTTAAAATCCTTCAACTTCTTGAGAGAGAGAGAAGCCACAGTGTTTCACTTTAATTAACATATTGTGAGAAATTACTTTGAGCCCCTAGTGCTACAGAATATTTCATCTTTCATGACTGTCCCTTAAATGGCATACCCACTGAGACTGAAAACTCCTCCACAGCTTTCATATCCCCAGTCTTCCATCAGTCTGAGAAAGAGCAGCACTCTTCTAGGCAAGGAACCTACAGGAAAACCCTCTGAATGGTTTGTTTCTTTTTCAGTTTGTCTTATGCAAGAATACAATCATGATTGCTTACAGCTAGTGAAAAGAGAGTATTGGTGGAACTGAGAAATTTAGAATGTGGCATTTAGTCAATACAAAAGGAAGATATGGGGGAGAAGAAAGGTTCCTAAGATTCAGGGGAGGTCTAGAATAATAAAGAAATACGCATTTGTTATGCATAGGGCATATGTTATGATGCCCCATGCATGACAACAAGTGAACATTTGTTGTAATGAACTGAGAAGAAAAGGTCATGGATTCCATTATAATGATTGGCTTTTCAAGTCTAGGAAAGTAATTTACCTGATACGTTACAATAGTTATATTGATATTCCATTTCTAGATTTCACAGCAGTCTGCTCTAGACAGGACTTCAGAGAAATTGATTTAATAGAATGCCTGTCAGTGACAAGACTTCAGATGCTACTAAACAAGGGTAACTCTTACTAACCAAGCAATGAAATTCTCTTGAAGTCTCCCGTGTATCATTCCAACTTTGGGACATAATATATTGAACTAGACTAGGCTTCCCACACACTGTTGATTGGACAGTTGTGTCAGATGTTTCAGCATTTCAATCAGAAAGCAACCACTAAAGGTTGGAAATACTGTCAATAAGAGCTCAGTCTCTTCATGCAGACCTGTCAAAAAAATGAGATGACTTTTATGGTTTCTTCTTTATCTCTCTCTAGTAAATTCTATTGCTTTTGTACAAAAATAATACAAAAACATTTGCTGTGTCTAGGACTTTTTAGACATAAAGAAAAACATTGCCAAAAGCCTGAGAGAGGTGAACCTTCCCATCTGCTCAACACTGTTAAAGCCACATCTGGAGTGATAATTCTAGTTCATGACTCCCCGGCACAAGAAAGATATGGACACAGAGCAGCTGGCCAAGTGAAGGGCAAGGAAGATCGTTTCAGAATTGGAGCATGTCATATGAGGAAAGGCTGAGAGATGCAACTAGTTAGCCTAAAGAGCAGAAGGCTCAGAGGCATCTTACAGATATGAGTAAATATCTGATGGAAAGGTGTAAGCAAGACTGAGTCAGGCTCTTTTCAGCGGTGCCCAGTGATAGAGCAAGTGGCAATGGGCAGAAACTTAAATTCAGGGTCTTGTCTGAGCACAAGAAAACACTTTTTTACTGTGCGGGTGACTAAGCACTGGCACAGGCAGCCCAGAGAGGCAATGGAGTTCCCATCCTTGGAGAGACTCAAGGCCATCTGGATGCAGTCCTTAGCAACCTGCTCTAGCTGACCCTGCTTGACCAGGTTGGCTGGACCAGATGTCCTCCAGTGGTGTCTTCCAATCTGAATGTTTTTGTGATTATGTGCTTTTCAGCAAAACAGTTTTAGTCACAATATTGGAAGTCTACACTCCAACTTCCATAACTTTTGAAACCTTTATTCTGCAAGAGTTTTCAGCTTTCCCTTTTAAGAAACTATATGTAAGAACCTATCCTCATTGTGTTAATTTTGTATTTTCCACAGAGCAGTAAGAATTCATGTGCTTGACCCACTATAAAGCAATTAACACAAATAGAGAACAGATATAAATAACTGTGTCAGTAATTAATAAGCAGAAAGGTGAGTAGGATAACTTAACCTCATGTAATATTTACTTCATAAAATTATCTGTGAGACACTTGCATCTTATGGTCTTAGACCTTTTATGTTTTGTTTAGTTTGTGCTTAAAGCTGTGATTCTTGAACACTAAGGCCATTGTTCTAGTCAATGAAGTTACTTGAGCTACACCTTTTACTTGGCATATGCAAGTCCACACCCAAATTATCTAAAAGATTGAGTATGGACTACCTATGTATACCGCTAACAACATAATCATTATGTCTAGTATTACCATTCCAGTCATGTTTTAATTATTTCTGACACTAAACATATGGTGGTACCTCACCTTCTTCTCATCATATTTTTTTTCAGTCTTGCTTCCTTTAGTTTTGAAGTGGCTGCCTGTTGTTAATGAACAGATAAATTCTTCAGCTTCAGGCTGTTACATGAAGGCTATCTTCCCTGCCGGTCACAGATGGCGGGAAGTGATTTTATTGATTTGTTAGTACTTAGCTAGAAGGATTACATCTAGCAGTAATGATGTGGCCAGGCCCTGGGACAAATCACCATACGAGTTAGTGGAGGGTCTGTGTCTTAAAGTGACTGTGACATTATTATATTTACCAGCCTTTCATAGTGCTTTGCTTATTAACACCACTGTAATCTCTTCTGAGACATCTGTCGGTCATTCAAGTTTCTGTTTCCTTCATGTACTGGAAAAGTTAGGAGACTTCAGATTCTGAACTGAACTCGGACATCATCCTACAAAAGTTCTGGTGGTAACCATAGTGCTTATTATGTTTTTTTCTTCATAATTTCTGTTATCAAATTGTGTCCTGCAGAAAATCTCTTGGGGGACACAGGCAGATGGCCACAGTAATTCCTCTCAAATTCAAAGGGTCATGAAGGTTCATGGCTTTCAGAATTTGTATAAGAGGTATTAGTGTGGCTGGGAGAAATCTGGTCCCTGTCCCTATTCCAAACTTGGCAAGTTTGGCAGAAAGAAGCATTGAATATTGCCAGCACCCATTTTTTTCCCTTTGGTTCATGCTCATCAGATGATCTCTCTAGAAACCAGAGCTGTTTCCATGTTGTGGCCTCAGCAGAAGCACAACTGAGAGGTCTTAAGTATCAGCGTGTGTTAGTTGTAGCGCACATTTTACCAGAAAGTGCAATTTTGTCTGTATTTTAACTTTGCATTCCTAAGCAGCCTGAATGATTTTATTCACTGACAGGCACATGTGTGAGCAGAGGACACCTCAGAGCGAGATGCATGAGCTTTTGGCTAGTGGATTACATGCAGATGATCTCCTGTAGAGAATAGCTGTTGCATTCATTACCAGCTCTCCAAAATGAAGTTACTCAGAGCTAGTAGATTAGAAATTGTCAGGGAAGCGATCTCTGTCTGGACATGACGTTTTGTTCCACTGTGCACTAACCCCTCATTTCAGCAGTCGGCACTGTGACATGTTTCGTGGCCAGTTTTAGTGGGTCACAGTAGTTAAAAAATGGGTCTGATAGGTAAGAGCGCTTGTCACCCGCGTGGGAGGCGTGTGTGGACCGTGGCATGGGGGGCAGTAACGGGCTTTAAGAAGCTTATCAAGAAAGTGGTGAAGCGTGGGACTCTAAAGAAGGGACGTTCTAGCCGCGACAGCGCTGGCTTAAGGCAAGGGGGCTGCAGCAGGGGTCAGCGCGGATCACGCCCGAGGGAGCGGCGTCAGCACTGGGAGCCCAAGGCTTCCCGGCACCCCAGGCAGCCCCGCAGCAAACCCGCACCTTCCCACGGGTGGCCCTGCCTCGGGTGAGCCGGGAGCCCCGGCGGGAGCCCGGGCGAGCACCTGCGGTGGGGAAAGCCGGAGGAGGACGTGAGGAGGGCGGCGGTGCCGGTGCCACCGCCGCGGCCGTGTGGCCGCCGGACGAGCCCGGCAGGCTGCGGGGTGAGAGGCGCGGCCGGCCCGGGTGCCCGGCGCGGGCAGGGGCAGCGGCGCCGCGCCTCGGACTCCGCCTCACCGGCACCGAGCTCCCCTCCCTCCCTCGCTCCCTCCCTCTCCAGCGCCAGGCTCGCAGCGGCGGAGCATCTCGGCGGCAGCACCCGCCCTTCCCGGCCGGCCGGCGGCGCGCACCGCCCCCCAGCTCCCGCACGCAGCCCGCCGGCGGCGATCCGGAGCCCTCCGCGCCACCGCACCCCCGCCCCGCACGCCCACCGCCGGGAGGATGGGCTGCGGGCGGCGGCGCGGCAGCCCCTGAGCTCCCCGAAGCCGCGGAAACAAAGGGACCGAGCAGCGGCAGCACCGGGCCGGGGTGGATGCAAGCAACCATGAAAGGCTGGGTCTCCGCCTCCTCCGCTGCTGCCAGAGAGCTGCCGGCTGCCGCTGCTCGGAGGACTACCCTGTGAAGGGGGCGGAGGAGAGGCTGGCTGGGTTCGCCGTGCAAAGGTAGAAGGTGTAAGGGAGAGGCGGAAAGAAAATGTCTTCTTCGGTGGGGCCCCGCGGCCCTCGCCCGCCCACGGTGCCCCCCCCGATGCAGGAGCTGCCCGACCTGAGCCACCTGACAGAGGAGGAGAGGAACATCATCATGGCAGTGATGGACCGGCAGAAAGAGGAGGAAGAAAAAGAAGAGGCCATGCTCAAGTAAGCAGACGCTAGTCATTCATTCATTCAGGCACTCATTCATACACCGATCGCCGGCGGGCGGAGCGGGCGCTGCTACAGCGGGAGCCGGCCGGTGCCCGGAGCCAGCCGGCTTCGCCCTGCTCGGCGGGGCTGGCGCCGCGGAGACCCGGTCCCTCTCCGCTCCCGGCCCGTAACTTCCTCCTCCCCCACCCCGGGCAGCTCCTCCCTAGGCAGCACCGCCGGGAGAACCCGGCACGGCGGGACGGAGCGGGACGGCGGCCCTCCCCGCCCCGAGGGAGCCGGCGGCGCAGGGCGGGCGGAAACCCCGACACGGGGGTGAGGGGCGAGGTGGGATTCCTTTGGGGTCCCCAAAACCCCGCCTCTGCCAGGAGGGGCCGCTGGGTGGGGTTTCCCTCCGTGCGGGAGCCTCCACGGCTGCCGTGCTGCCCCCGCCTGGCTCGGCCCCCGCTGCCGCCCGCCGCGGGGCTGGGGCGGCTGCCCCCGCCCGGCACAGCCCCGGCCCCCGCTCCGCCCGCCGTGCCGCCGGCCTCGGCCCGCCCGCCGCCGGCTCCAGGGCGGGCAGCCCCGGGCAGCGGCGCGCTGTGGGGCAGCAGGGCGTTCGTAATTAGGAAATAGATGGAATTAGTCGCACTGCTCATTCCAGCGGGCGGGCGTGCTGGCGGGACGGCGGGGGAGTGGGTTTATCCCGCTGCCGGCAGCACGGGGAGGGGTGCGGGGAGCGCGGGGTGTGGGTAGGTGCCATGTTTGGAAACCAGATCCCCACAGCCTCTTTTGAACCTTTTCCTCACCCCCTCGTCCCTGCCAAACATCGCATGTGATCTCATTTTTTAGCCTCCTCCGTCAGTCGGAGGCTTCAAACGTAGCGTTGCTGAATCGCCTACTGCGAGTGATAAGAATAAACAGATCGGAGTCGTGGCCTGTGGAGGAGAATCACGGTTTCTCTTCTGACAGCCCCTCAGGCCTGTTCGCTCCGGGCGGGAGGTGGTGGGAGAGGTGACTGGAACAGTGCAAGCCTCTGACGCCACGCAGACCCTCCGTGCCACAGGAGGTGTATCCTTACCTCACTGTCGCCTGCTTGCGTGCACCTGTGCTCGGAAGGGATGCGCTGAAGGTGTGACGTGATCTGGGTGTTTCTTTCGGCTGCATCGGAAATAGCCGCTTGAGCGATGCAGGTGCCAGCTCTTCCCCACGGCTGGGGACCAAACCCCGCAGGCTCCCGACTTCGGCCCCGTGCGCCGTGCGTGGTGAAGCTGAGACAGCGTTTTAGTACACTCTTTTCCCTGTCCCTTCCTATTCGTTCTTGACTCTGAATTTTTACAGGGGCTACTAGAGATCCCTGCAGTGGTGGGTACTGAGGCCCAGCTGCCAGTGCTGGGCTGGCTAGGAGCTGTCCGGCACCGTGGTGCTTGGATCTCAGTTCAAGACGGAAGAGTTCAGTTTGCAGTTCATTGTGTTTGGGGTGTGGCTACCCTTGGAAGTGGGGTGATTGGAATGAGAAATGTTCGTGAAAATGCGTTGTTAGTCACTGTGGGGAAACGTGAGTGAAGGATCCCTCCTCAGTTTCTATTCATCAGAAAAAAATTAAATAAAGGAGTAGCTCAAAGGCTCTAAACTATATGTATCCTTCTGTTCCTTGTCCTCCAGCACAGCTACTTTTCTACAAATATTTAGCTTTTATTCTGTGAAGAAGATTACTGGTTGTGTGATAATGTTGTAGAGGAATACTATAAATCTTAAGTCACTGTGAGAATGAACTCCCGTTGGTAAAGATAGTATTTTCTCAGCCCTATTCTTGTTAACATTGGGTAGAGGATAACTTTTCCTCCTTTTTTCACTCCCCCCCCCCCTTTTTTTTTTTTTTTTTTTTCATTGGTGTTTCTGAATTCTGGACTGATATTTCCTTTCCTATGAGATTCTGGGAATCTTCAGCAGTTTCACTAAATGAACTTTGGATACTTCAGATACAATTTTTAGAAGAGGGCAAAAATGGTGCTTTGTGAATTCAATTAGAAATTACTTTATATTTAAATTTTTGTGATATCCAAATTTAAAAGTTCATTTCCCTACAAAAGTTCTTTCAAATAATAACAGGCTATATCCTCCACTGGCCTGAGAAACTGTGATTTTAGATTTCTGTCTTTATTTAAAGAGGCAGAAATTAAGGGAAAATACATTGGAAAACTTAGAAACCTGTATATTTGCTTTAGCTATATCGTTAGTTTGTAAAAATCAAGTCACAGCAAATATTTTTCTTATGAGAGAGACGTTAGATTTTCTAAAATAATTTGCTTTTTCTGTATGCTGACTGCTTACTTTCTTTTTGGGATAAGAGTTTGACACACCTTTTCATTAAGTAATTCTTTTCAGACTGGAATTTTGACAAGAATTTACTTCCATAATTTTATGAAGGGTTGTTACAAATATACAGTGGTACTATCAGATGACACAGCTATATTATAAAAGTCAGATATCATCACCACTCCTTCCTATTATCTTTGTTAAAAGATTTTCTGATTATCCAAATGTCTCAACAAAACTGACACCAGTTTTCATTAAAACCACCTGGTGGAGAAATGTTTCCATCTGTAACACCCACATGCAAATCTGTAATTTTCCCTGAAAGTGAAGCTGAGAATCAGTGCTGCAAACTAGGCTACCTTCAATCCTGGGCTGATCAGAGGCCGGATATGTGCTGTCTCATGAATCATAAGGGCTAAAATGGGTGCAGCATTTCTCTCCTGTTCTGGATGTCCTGATAGCAATGAAAGTTTCTAAAACAGTACTTGGAATTTTCCTTTCCATCACTCCTCATAGCAGAAAGCCATAGGAAGAAATATTGGTTAAATGACTATATTCTTCATACAGTGGTCATAAAATTGTGGATCCAGGGGAATTTGAAGTGCTTCTGTGAGTGGACTTATATGGATTTCCGGAGAAGTGAAGGCAGTTGGGGTCATCGTTAAAGAGGCTGTGTCCCTCTCCTTTGGGTCTGTACCTCTGTGTCTTCCTGATCCCTGTTTCTGATTGTGAGCTAAAAGCCTTCTTGTAAACCCTGTCTGCCAGTTCCCACTGACATCAGCACATACTGCAGCGTGCCAGCCTGTGAACAGGGTGCTGTTACAGGGTACAGAACTGGACACTGAGCTGTTTTCACTGCTTGCACTGGAACATTACAAATGCCCCCTTTGGTTTGAGACCACCTGCTTGCTGCTTTCCAGGAACTTTCCCTATCTATCATTTTGTTGAGTTTCCTTCAGCAGTGTGGGGCTAACAGAGCTTGTAACGTTTTAACGTCCTTAGGATAAAGATGTGCATCTTACCCTGGTCAGTGTGACTTCTTTTTTCTAGGCACGCCTGGTCAGTGGGAAGGGACCTTGTCTTTCCCATACCCTTCTGATATCAGATTTCACACTGCTGTGGGTGGTGTTTGTGGAAGGGGAACACTTTGCTGTCCTATGACTTATTGAATACCATGGAGCAATGTGTTGAGGAGTTTGGGCATTTGTAAAGGATCCTTCTTTTGCATGTTTTACGAACAGGAAGGAACACTTTGCTATTAACTGATTGCCTTGAAATTGCCTTCACATCTAAAGGCAGGTTCTGCATTCCTTCTGTAATAGGGACAGTGTCACCAGGTATTCCTGAGCCCATATCTGTGCCTTCATTTGATGGACTGTGGTCCCCATCTGTTGCATGGCACTGAAGACTGAAATCCACATAAACACTTTGCTGCTTGCTAGGCACTAAGTAGAAACTGAAACCTCTTCAGTGCAGTCTCACAGTCTGGGAGTAGGAAGCAGGTCCTCTATCTCATCTTGGAGCTTCAGAGCTTTGTGTTTTGTTCTTCTGTGGCTGGGAGAGCATCACTTTCCTATTTGCCACACCTTTGAAAGCTGCATGGAGAGCAGCTCCATAGTACTCAATCTTAGACACCCAAGCCTTTTCTGTTCTTTTATGAATAAATGTTTGCATAGAGCAAAATGTAGTAAAATGGCCTCCTTTGCAGACTAATTCACATTGGAGGCATTTTTTCCTGTTTTATTTGGTAGATATTCCTGTAGCTGGAAGGGAAGAGTTTCATGTTGGGTGACTAATGTCTAGCCTGAAGTCCAGATATTGCTCAACAGGTGACTGATGTGACTAAAAAATTGTGAAGAAGCATGAAAGGGTAAGTTTTCAATGAGACTGAAGAGAGAAACAAACTGTCATTTGCAAAAGTGTGTGTGTAAAATTAAAAGAAAAAATAGTTTAAAGGCTTAGAGTGTACATTTAAACACTAGGTAGCCTGAGGCAACTATTTCGCTTGTGGGTATAAGGTGCCTTGAATTGAAAAAAACACAGTTATGTACAGCAAACTTCAGTCACAGAGAAATCACAGAATTATATATATATATGTGTACTTAGGATGAAGTTTGCTTATATGTAGTTGTGTGCCTTATCTTGTTGGGTTAGGCAAGTACTAAGTGGAAACTATGGTAACTGAGAACACAGCTAGTTGAGTTCCAGGTAGGAAGTGGTTCCTAGTTACCACAATGTTCATTTGCTGGAGCACACTTAAGTGGGGATAAAAGCTCTTACTAAGCTTCTGATGGGACATAAAGAAGGCTGTGGAGTTGTTGGCTGAGGTAGTTGCAATAGGAGGAAAGTTAAATAAGACACGGGAAGTGCTTTGTAGTTTTGTAACTCTAATTAGTTAGAGTTACTCAAAGAGTAGCTTGAGTAGAGGAGGTAGTACATACTTGAAACTTTCCCATCTTAAAAGTTATCTCAAGATTTTTCATGGCAGTTAATAATTAGGGAGAATTTGTTGCTAACGCCCTATTTTGACCACCTAGTATTGCACACAAGCATGATTTTAATTTCAGGTCTCCAGAATCAATAGGGATATTGCAGCTGCTCATGTTTCAGGGCTGCTAAATCCCAGTCACTTGGAGTTGGTGAGAATATCTGTTTCAGGGTTTGCAAAGTAACTTCTCTATAATTTCCTTGGGACACTG